AAGTAATAGTTATAGGTATTCATATTTATAATATCAAAAGTATTTATTAATCTGGAACAACGGAACCAAAGCGCGATTCAGGAGACTACAGCGCCATCTCTTGACCATTGGTGTAGTAGAACCAAAAACCACATCTTTATTTTTTGTAATAAAGTAACAGTTATAGGTATTCATATTTATAATATTTATCCACATGTTTCTAGTTTGTATATTCGGAATACGTGTTTGAGTTTCATACAAGTGCAAATCACATATGTTCTAATAAATTATATTCAGTAGCGATTTTAATTGAATATTTTGATTATTTATTTATTTTTTCAAATTAAAACTGAACTTTATTGACTGTGTCCTTTTCCAGACTTTTTATTAATTTATTGTAATTAATTATTTGCATGCAATTAAAAACTAATTTTAAAACGATGCCAAAGAAGGATAACTTCTCACGCGCCTACATAAGTACACGCACCCATTTTTTTTAATATCAGTCATAAATCGTAAACCGCTATTTACCTTTCATTCAATCAACTCAAATATAAAAATAAACATGAACGTTATGCATAAACCGTGAACCATTATTTTCTAATAATGCATCTGTAATTATGTGCCTACAATAAGTAAATAATATTTATAATTCGCGCGGGGCGTGGCTTGATCGGTAGCAGGTGCAAAGCGCGCGGGGGGCAGGTTTTATAATTATGTTACTTGCTGCTACGAAAGCCTTCATAGGCGAGTTCGACTTGCACTTGTGCGCTTTTTTTCCTAGAACAACATGGACCTAATCAGCAGAAAAAGCAAAAGTTAAAATCGATTCGTGATACTACTAGAATTTAAACTCAATTTTAGTATAGTCTCTTAGTATTTGTTATGCAGGGAACTTGGTGCTACTTGAGAACTTCTTTACCATCAATTTTTTTTTCAAGTTTTCTTTAACTTTGTAGAATGTCTTTACGAAAGGAATAAAAAAGTGGCACAAAGGTTGCACAGAAAATCAGAAATTAAGAAAACTGTAACTTATAACCATAGCGTGAAATTCATCGTCCTAGCTTAAGCCTGCAGTGCTATTCTGTAATTTTTTAAGGCGTGGATCCGCCCAAATCTGTATGGAAACGTGCGGATCCGATGCGGATCCGCGGGTGTACTGTACCCGATTGGTGGCGTTTTAAAGGATTTTGACAGCTAGAATCTTTCGGAAAGCTAGTTTTATTATTTTAAACGTATAGCTCTAGACGGGGCGCGGCGTTAAATTTAACTTTAAATGAGCCCCAAGATGTTGTTCGGCGACAAAACAGACCTATCCGTTGATAGACGTTTACTCAAACACTAGACAGTTACCAAACAGCGTGATAATAATGAATGCCCCGTGTACCGTATACACCATTTTGCAGAATCAATGGTGCAGATGAATATTAAATACCATTAAAAAATAGTAGGTACCTACTTTTATATACACACTTAGTTTTACTTCGAGATTCGAGTATTCGGGATTCAGTGAGGCAGAAATAAAAAATATTTAAATAAAACAGGTACATTTTATTGAAAAAAAATATGTACACAGCAAAACAAATAAATAATCTTATACTGTATATTAGTCTATAAAACATTAATTTCATTGAAATAAAATACTATACATAACTACATTAAGATTATGTACATAATACCATCTCACAGAAGTGCTATACGACTAATAATATATAATAAACAATATCCATTTAACATTAAATACGATATCTGGAGTCACATTTATTATTTAGGAAATTTTAAGTGGAATCTCTAAGGTTAAAAATACGATAATATAAAAACAGTAAGCTATCATCATAATATATTCATCGGACTTTCCATAAATCACATAAATCAGTTTTGCACAGAGTTATTCTAACAAACACTGTCGATAACAAATTATCTATCAAATGTACTCGAGGTGTGACGACATGTGTCCTACTACAATTAACATTCTACCTAGATTTTTATAACTCTTTATTTTATCTATAATTGAAATATTGTATTTAAAAAGCATTTTCCAAATGTTATAAAATAATCTCCCTTGTACCACAAACCAAACACTTACCCATTAAACGACACTTATAGTGAATACCTTAATTTCAATTAACACATTATGTACGATTCACACTTACCGGCGCGCTTCGGAGCGCAGCGCATATAACACTATGCTGAAGGAAATTGAAACATCCCCAAAGTCGTTACGTTCCTTATTTGCCTGCGGAACTAGGGTTACCATCCGTCCGGATTAGTCTGGACATGTCCGGACTTTTAGACAAAAGTCCGGTCTTTGTCCGGATCTCTAAATTGAGCGATTTTTTTACATAATACATGTAAATATTGATTGAAATATTATACCATTGTAACTAAGTGAGTAATGGTACCATGTTGTGACTAAAAAGACCGGACTTTTTTCGAAATGACAGAATTTTTGTCAGGACTTTTGAAATTCCTGAATGGTTACCCTTTGCGAAACCAAGCGGCTGCAGCAGAGTCCGAGCGCAGCCGGTCGGCTCCAAAGCTGATTGAATTTCATGCAAATAAGGAACTTAACTACTTTATGGATGTTTCAATTTCCTTCAGCAAATGGTAAAATGCTCAGACGCGCGCCAGTAAGTGAGACTCGTACATAAGACAAGGAGAGTGTGATTTTGTTGTGATGTTTAGTACAAAATTAGTCGTCCAACGATTAAACAATTAAAATAAAAGTAGGCCTATTTATGTACTGTACAAAATGTATAAAATTAGAAATCGGACTCTTAATACCAGTAATTCTGATCTGATTATCGTCCATCTTGCATAGCCGGTTCATATCATAATCACAAACACCGCATTTCAACTATTAAGTCTAGCTTTATTTATATTAACAACAAAATAATAAAATTATCAAATCAATGCAAACAATCATGTATTTCCACAATGTCTGAAAGTAATAATGCTGTACTTATTAATTATTATGTAAACAAAGCAATGTTGACATGAAATGCGCAACGCCAACAAACGCCAGGCCAGTTTTATTGTCAATTACCTTCTTTAATATCTACACTTTAATATGCTCAATATTTTGACTAGAAATCATGTTATACTTATTACTCTCTAACAAAACACATAAAATTTACACGATATTTATCGTTACATAATTTCTTACCAATTTACAGTTGTCTATAATTGTACAATAGATCGATGACAGGTGTTTGAATTTATATTTTAGATTATTTTAATGAAATCTACATAATGTTACAAGCTACTCGAACTAGGATGTAACGTCAAACAACATGATTTTAAATCGTCGTTGTTTTTATCTTAATATATATTATTTAATTATAATAGAACTTCCATAGTAATAATAGAACTTCAACCACTGTCCAATTCGCAGATATCATTGACAAATACCTCCTATGATACGCTACTAATTTCGCACGTGAATATTAGGAACCTGTTACTTCCAATAATTATTTTCATAATTGTTATAAATTATGTTTAATGATATAATGAATTGTACAAGTTAAAATGAGCTTTAGTTCAAATATAGAAATAGATTTTTAGAAAACTCAAATATGAAATATGTAAATGATATATTATTACAATCTTAATATTTCTCTAACTAATTTATATTTTAAACGTATTCTTAATGTCACTAAACATTTTGTTGAATGGTCAATCACTTAATAGGGATCGAAAGAGAATTAATTAATTCCCGCGTAATTAATGCATGTACTTCTACTGTGTGATTGTTGCGTTTTGTGGTAGCACCCAGTCTCAGTATATATCTTAATTAAGTCATTAGGTGATAACAATCCAGAGTAAACCATATTTAAAAAATTCATCATCTCAAGGCGGAATTTGTACACAAATACGATCAATGACCATAATTTGTGAAACGTAATTCTAGATTTCTTTTGTAGGTATAATTTTTTCCGTGCACATATTTGCCTCTATATTTTTACTATCACTTATAATTCCAAAACAACTATGTGTTTCTGTTGGTTCATAAAATAAAAGTGATTAGGTACGATATTAAATTTGTTCTAATATAAGAAACAAGAGCGTTAGCGCCATCTATTAATGGGGTTTTCAATAACGAATCGGCTTGGACACCTCGCGCACTAGACGGCCACGATCACGACCAGTGGACGCAACGTCCAAGCTAAATGAACATTTTTTTTTAATACTTACTAGGCAAGGCGTTTGACCACAATCTCGCCTGATGGAAAGCGATGATGAGGCCTAGGATTGTACACGCCTGCCTAGAAGATGCCTGTTCACTCTGGCCTTAAAGATGTCCAGATTATATTGGTCCGGGTTTAAAACAGACCTCGGCAAGAAGAATGTCGCGCACTTGGCCGCACGTATAGTTTGCTATAAACCTTCGCGCACTATATCTACGACCACAAATGCGGCCAGGCCGTAACCAGCTATTCTCTCTCAATGAACACTTTGTATTGTCCTGCAACTCAATATGACAACGTTTTCTTTTCTGCAATGAGTTTTGATGCAAATTTATTTATTAATAAAATAGAGAAACGACAAGCGCTGTGGCCGTTTCACGACCAGTCGTAGTTTATAGCAAACTATACGTGGCAAACTGCGCCGCAGTGCAACCGTATCTTTTGTGACCAAGGTTGCTACGGGCACGACTGGCCGTGATCATAGCATAAAGGTATAAGAATAGAGTAGGGGAGATATAGACTCTACTACAAGTGGAAGTGTCCCTCTAATAGAAAGAGAAAGAAGATGAGAGACCGCTAGCTTTCTCTCTCTAAACGCCCATGCGCATAGGCAACCGTAAGCATCTTACTATTTCGATGTGATGCCATTGGATGCCATGCGTCAGAAGACAGAGATAGCTAGCGGTCTCTCATCTTCTTTCTCTTTCTACTAGACGGACACTTTTAGAGCCGCCTTTCCCACTTCATTCTTATACCTCCATGGGTCATGGCCGTCTAGTGCCCGAGGTGCCTTACTTTTCGATGGGAGACTACAGCGGCATTGTTTCGCGGGTATCATCGAGAGCTGCGCAGCCGCGTGCTCTCGCCGGACTTTGTCAAAGTCGACGAAGGTTTGGATGCTCTCTTGGCTTTTTCTTTAGCTTTCCCTTTGTCTTTCCTGCTCCTTTGCGGCGTATCCACAATGGGGTCGCTATCAGTAGCCTCCTCGGTGGTGCCGTCATCTTCGTCTTCGTCCGCCTTTTCACTTTTCTTGTCCAGCTCCGCCATCGCCTCTTGTATAGCGTTTTCGAGAAGCTGGTTTAGTTTTCTACTCCTGTTCCAAACACAAAATAGAATTATAAGAATATGTTTTAACACCAACAGTGATAATTTCAGCTCAAATATCTAATCTATAAATGTATTATTTTAGTTTTGGTTGGGTTAATGCCTTTATACATAATTTTAATAAAATAAAAATGTGCTTGTTAAACGATAACTTATTTTACTTATTGTTTTACAATCTTTAATCACATCAAGAGTTTTACGGAATATATGGATGATATATTCAGCCATACGACGTCCACTGATTAGCATAGGCATATAATTGATCATGATAATCATTTAATTTATTGGTGTAATACTGCACTAGTGACAATATTCAATAACATGGACAAAGCGATTGTCGTCAATAAAAACGAAGTGTAACAACTAATGCTTTAAACAACGAATTGGAAATGATATGGAAGCATTACTCTCTAAAAATGGCGGCTAAAATATGGATCCAAACTTATACACTTCAATACTAACACACGCACACAGACAAAACAAGATAATTTGACAAATCAAATATCTGCAAATGAATGCGGCTATCCATTCATTTGGTAAGATAAATGTTAAACAGAAATTCTAACCAATCCCATGATCGATGTTGATCGCATTGTTTTAGCCCCGCCCACTTCATCGCAGTTTGCGTGGAACCACTATAATTATGACTTAAATCATAATTCATAAGTAAATTCGTCTAGGGCTATCAGTACATACGACGCGGTGTGCTCAAACATCACAAGAAAAACGAACTATTGACAAGCAAGTTTGATGATCGATTTTGATCGATGATCGAGGAATACATGATGTTGTGCCAACAACTTCGGCAAGCAAGTTTGATCGTTTCTATCATAAAAAACCGAAATTATAGACAAGCAAGTTTGATGATATATTTGCTTCATCGCAATTTATTGTTCGATAAAAATGTGACATTTGACCGACCAACAACTTTGTCAATAACCCGAGATCCCACCGATCGATTCTGCAGTCATGTGTCTTTTTAATTAAACTTAATTAAAATGAAAGATTTGTGAGTATCCAATGCATCAATTGCGTTGCCTAAAAATAGCCGCAAATGCCTTTATAAATTTTGTGACATCCAAAGAAATGATGTGAAGAATTTAAAAACCAATGGTTGTCAGCTCTCAAAAATTCAACATTAATATACACGTTTACACCTGGTTACCCTAAAGTTGCGGCTGATTGAGAACTGGCAACCATTGTTTTTTGAATTCTTAACATCATTTCCTTTCAGATAACGTAAAAAATTATTTAATAAAACATATGTATGAGATTTTCATAAATAAATGGATATCACAAAATTTATTAAACGTAAAGTGCAGATATTTATGTCTCAGTGCAGTAAGATGAGGTCTGTGGGGCCTCACTTCCTGCGGTGGGTGTGCGCGGTTTGATGCGCCTGTAGCCCCTCTATGAGAGTCATAAGGCCGAACCCTAAGCACGAACAAGTAGAGAGAAATAATTCGTATATCGCCATGACAAAGTTTCTATGGAAAAAGTCAGTTTGTTCTTATGCCCGGTAGTGGAAACTAAGGAGTTTCCATAGAAACTTAGACGTTGGCGATACGGATACGGATCTGTCAAAGTCCGTGCTTGGGGTACCAAACCAGTGCACGCAAGTTATTGTGGCGTATTGTGTCGAGTATGGGTAGTGCAGTTGCTATGTGTCGAATACGGATCTGTCAGAATTCGTGCTTGGGGTACCGAACCAGTGCCCGTAAATTATTGTGGCGTATTGTGTCGAGTCGAGTATGTGTGTGTGCCGTGTGTGTGCCGGCCTAGAATAACACCACCCCTCTCGTCCCATGGGTGTCGTAAAAGGCGACTAAGGGAGTACAGCCAGCAGAAGACGGGTAGCAGCGTCGTATTGCAATATCTTGGCTGTACTGCGATCGTCAATCCGCCTGCCAAGCATGGCGATTATGGCAAAACCCTCCCAAAAATAAGTAGCACAACTAAAGATTGGCCCCCAGTCCCCGGCAGCCTTGCTATTCTTAGCCACGGTAGTAGCTATGGTAACGGCGGGGCAAGGGGTGCTAAGAATCCCCGGGTAAGATCCGGCTACCACCTACTTGGTTTATCTGAAGTCCGAAGAGAGGCAGAGACTCGATAATCCTCAATTCCGGTAACTTGCTATACTACCGGGAGGGCGATTAACAATCCCTAGGTGGTGTCGGGTTTATCGTCCACAAGTCCCTTGTTCACAACGTGATCACCATCGGAAGTATGTCGACCAGGTTAACATACCTGATACTCGGAATATCAAAACGATATTCGTTGAATGTCATACAGGTTTATGCTCCGACCTCGACGCACCCATATGACGAAGTGGAAGCTATGTATGAGGAGATCACAAAAGCCATGCATAGCTACAAAACACACTACACGGTTGTGATGGATGACTTTAACGCAAGGTTGGGGAAGCGTTGTGGTGATGAGTTGAGAGTGGGGCAATTTGGAGTTGGACAGAGTTGGAGAGGAGTTGGAGCTTCGAATCCCTTGAGAACAACTTAGATGTGGACGATTTGAACAACACGGTGGTGGATACTGTCCGTACGGTAGGGTCCAAGTATTTTAAAGCCCACCGTTCCATAATTAAGAAACTTTTTGACAAAACTCTCCTACTCGTGGAACAGCGGAACGAAAAGAGACTACAGAATTAAGGAGATACAAGTCAGTACCGGCGGCTAAATAGACAGATATAACAGTCCTTGACGAGCGATTTTCGCCGATTTAATACGTATTGTATCAAAGAGGCTATCGAGCGCAACAAAGGCTCCAAGTGTTCGCGAGAGATCTGTCTATTGGGCAAAGCCAACTGACGAAGCTGAAGACTGACAACGGTAGCATCATTTCGTCTAAGGCTGAAATCCTGAGGGAGATTGAGTTTCTATAGACAGCTATATTCCACGCAAGCACCCGTTGAAAGCAAGACTAGAGACCCCAGAGCCAAGCTTACTCGACACTACACTGAAGATATCCCGGACGTCAGCCTGTATGAGATTAGTATGGCTCTCAAACAACTTAAAAACAACAAGGCGGCGGGCGATGATGGAATCACAGCAGAACTTCTGAGACCGGGCGGTAAGCCCATACTTAAAGTCCTCCAGAGGGTTTTCAATTCTATCATCCTCGAAGGCAGAACGCCAAAAGCATGGGCCAGAGGTGAGGTTGTCCTGTTCTTCAAGAAAGGTCACAAAGCACTCTTTAAAAACTATCGACCAATCTTGCTTCTTAGCCATGTTTATATGTTGTTTTCGAGTCATTACGAATCGTTTCGCACGGAGTTTAGACGACTACTAACCTCCCGAACAAGCCGGTTTCCGAAAAGGCTTCAGTACCATAGACCACATTCATACGCTGCGGCAGATTATATAGAAGACCGAAGAGTATGATTTGCCATTTTGCTTAGCGTTCGTGGACTATGAGAAAGCTCTCGATTCGATTGAGACCAGGGGCCCAATTCTCGCGGCGTAGATATTATATCGGCTTCGAGATAATATCGAAAGTAGGGATATCTATTGAAAATATCTACTGATGGTAAAAAATGCTATTCTCGTGGATTTTCGATATTCCAATGATATTATATCTATCGTAGATATTCTTTCACTGCCGAATGCGTTCCGTTTTTCTCGATTAAGTTAACATCATAGTCTATATAAATAAATAATAAATTAGAGCAGAATTTTACAAGAAACAAAATGATATTTTATGAATTCCATTCATATTAAATGTGTGTATACATTTTTTGAGTATAAGAAATCTCAACTTTACCTAAATTGTATGCGTTTAAAATTTCAACGTTATGTATAATGAAACGTCCATATTATTTAAAATTCTCCCTTTTCAGGGAAGGCAAAGGGAACAATGCCCATAAAGCCTAGTCTTTAGTTATATTAATCTTCTTTTTATTACATTCGAATGTCGGTGTGACGCATTCTAATGTTTCTTGGAGTGTTTGGCACGAAATTTATGGAGTCAGCTTTTTCTCTAAGCTTCTGTGAGGTAGTCAACACTACAATAAAGTTCTCGCGTCCACTTGACCGGAATAGCGTATATTTTAAAGATTCCACTAATTCTTTAGTTGCGCAGACGGTTGTAACACCAAATCACACCAATTTTATTTCACAATATCCACTATGAACGAATTTTAGAATAATTAAAATAAGATGCTAACCGCACTCGCAGAAATCCCGCCAAAACTCCGTATCGTCAATAAGAAAATGGTGTCGATTCTGGCATGATTCTCTAAACCTAAACGTAAATTTGACAACAGTGTATCCTTGTCATTCTCCATACAGAATGAAAAGGAGAGACTGATGTTAAATTTAGTTTTAAGTTTAGAGAATCGTGTCAGAATCGATACCAATGTCATTCATAACTTTAAAGATTTCTAACGAAATTTTTGTTTAAACGTAATTTTTTTATGAAGTCCGCGTCCCTCATTTCAAATGGGCCCTCTTGCTCGCACAACGGCGGCGCCTTAGCACAGCAGCAGCAATCACGTAATTTATTAAATCATTGACGAAAACATGAATCAACTCATCCATCGTTAATATAAACTGGTGTCGATTCTGGCACGATTCTCTAAATCTAAACTTAAACTTGACAACAGTGTTTCCTTGTCATTCTCTATACAGAATGAAAAAGAGAGACTGATAATAAATTTAGTTTTAAGTTTAGAGAATCACGCCAGAATCGACACCATTGTTTACCTACTTCTTTATTTACTAATTATTTATGAAGGCAGTTAACAACATCTTGAGGTAACAATAACTGGCAAAGACACACGACAACACAATAAATAATAGGTAAAAAAAGTGGAAATAACTAGATTGACATGCCAAGATCCATAGATATTTATATATCGAAGGCTCTTTACCAGTCGATGTATGTCTACTGATCATCCGTAGATAAATATCTATTGCGACATGGTGAGAATAGGGCAAAAAGGTTTTCCTTCGATAAAAGCCAGATCATTCGTTATATATCGAAGGTGATATAATATCTATGCCGCGAGAATTGGGCCCCTGGGCGGTGTTACAGTCTCTCCAAAAGTGCCAAGTAGACTACAGGTATGTAGAGGTATTAAGGTACCTTTACGAAAACGCCACTTTGTTAGTCCGATTACAGAACCAGAACTCTAATCCTATCCAATTGCAGCGTGGCGTGAGACAGGCAGATGTGATATCTCCGAAACTGTTCAAAGCTGCATTGGAGGATATTTTTAAGTTTCTGGATTGGAAAGGACGAAGCATTAACATTAATGGCGAGTACCTTTCGCACCAACATGGATAAGACGAAAATTATGTCGAATGCCCATATAGTACCTGCTTCAGTTAAAATTGGGAGCAATACACTCGAAGTTGTCGACTGTTACGTTTACCTAGGACAGACAAGCCAGTTAGGTAAGTCCAACTTTGAGAAAGAGATCTCTCGTCGTATCCAGCTCGGATGGGCAGCGTTCGGGAAGCTACGGAAAATCTTCGCGTCCTAATTACCTCAGTGTCTCAAGACAAAAGTTTTTGACCAGTGTGTGTTGCCAGTGATGACCTAAGGAAGCGAGACGTGATCTTTTACTGCGGGTCTCATAAGAAGGCTCAAGGTCACACAGCGAGCAATGGAGAGAGCGATGCTCGGGTGTTTCCCTACGCGATAGAATAAGAAATAAGGAAATCCGTAGGAGAACCAAAGTAACCGGTATTGCTCTAACGATTGCTGTGCTGAAGTGGCAGTGGGCGTGACACGTAGCAAGAAGAACCGATGGCTGTTGGTGCGGATAGGTTCTGGAATGGCAACCACGCACCGGACGACGCTCAGAGGGCAGGCCTCCTACAAGGTGGACGACGATCTTGTGAAGGTCGCGGGAAGCCGATGAATGCGAGTGGCGCAGGACCGATCGGTGTGGAGATCCTTGGGGGAGGCCCATGCTCAGCAGTAGGCGTCGTACGGCTGACATGATGATGATGATAGTGTCGAGTATAGGTAGTGCAGTTGCTGTGTGTCAGTATGTGTAGACAGTGCAGGGACAATGTATCGGGGACGGGTGACTCACTTCCTACAGTTGGTCCGTGCAGTGTATTGCGCCTCGAGCCCCTCAATAAGGGTGAGCAGACGCGCTTGGGGCGTGGGTTCACGTTATTGGGTCGTGTTATGTCGAGTGTAGATAGTGTCAGTGCGGGTAACTCACTTCCTGCGGTTGGTGCGCGCGGTGTGATGCGCCTCGAGCCCCTCGGTAAGGGTGAGCAGACGCGCCTGGGGCGTCGGCGCGGCATGCGCGGTGACGGCTCCGAACCAGCGCACGCGCCAGCGACCGGGGCCGGCGCGCGCCGCCAGCTTGCCGGGCCAAGACGCATGCCCGCGCACCGGGCCCCATACCAGGTCACCCACGCGGAACCCGCGCCCACCACTCGCGCCGCCATCTACGCACCCCCACCGCATACGCTCATCAACGCCCGCGCACATTCTCCACTTCCCTCCCTTCTCATTCCTCTTAAGTATAATACGCGAATGAACGGCTACACGAAACGGCGCAAAGCTGGACTTCCCACCGTACATGAACGACAGGGGCGTATTTATTTATCCTATGGTCAAAAAGGCTATGACCCGGGGCGGCAGGCTGCGAGTGACTTGCCACCCCTCGAAGCTCTTGCAGCCACCCATAAAAGCCATTTGTTATATAGGTAAATTTTGATGAGATTCACCGATTCTAGGGAGTGCAAACCGTAAATGGCCCGGGGAGCCAGATTTCAAAATACGCCCCTGGTCAACGACCAGCTATACCTATACGCAAGGTGGCGTTCGACCGCGACTTAAGCTTCAATATTAGCTATTCACAGAGCAGCCCACTAGAAACCGCAGATAAAAACACCTACTTGTGCCAAGCTTGAGTAATACTGCATAAGCTGTAACAGTCAACCTCTAGTTGGCAGAATGTTGTTGCCCCGAAATTCATTAGGCATAATCTACTTTAAATGATTACTTTATGGCATTTTTTTTTTGTAAATGAAATCATTGTTTTGGTGAATGTTTACATCTCTGAATTCACAATGGCATACTTTGAAGATCGCAGAATTTTATTAGGCATATAAATACCTTTGGTAAAATTTGACTCTGTATAATTTCGCTTAGCATAACGGTGCCCGTGGTCAGTGGGTTAAGTTAATGTTGTGATCTGAATTAAGCGAGCGTAAACCACTTGATTTAATAGATCAATAAAACAAGGAAAAGTTATATATTTATATGCCAAAACAGGATTCTGACTGTGAACTTTCTGCGATAAGATAGTTTTGATTTTTAATTATTACTAGTGGCCCGCCCTCGCTTCGCTTCGGTGTAGAGCTGTAGTTTAGATTATATTTTTGTTCTCAGGTTTCTATTAAACACAATGACTTTCTTTAAATACCTAATAACTAAAGACACGCGCCGCCGCCGGCCCCCCGGCCAGTACTGTTCGTAAATAAGCCATTACTTTCTCGTAATAAGTAATTAAAAAATGGTTATTGTGGGTTATACCAAAGAGATAGGCATATACCATCGCGGACTTTTTTGTAGACCTTTTTAAGGTGTACAATACTGTAGTACATTATTTTGATCTATCTCGTTGGGTTCAGCCAGCGTTTGCAATGTAAGCGCAAAAAAATGTGTTTATTTACGACCTTATATTAAAACCTCTAAAATTATCAGTGTTTCTCTACTATATTATGCATGTATTATACCTTCCTCTTGAATCACTCTATCTATTAAAAAAAACCGCAACAAAATCCGTAGCGTAGTTTCAAAGATTTAAGCATACAAAGGGACATAGGGACAGAGAAAGCGACTTTGTTTTATACTATGTAGTGATGGGTATTAAATTTATTGATACAGATTATTCTGTATTACAAAACTATCCGTTTCACTGTCTGTTAAAAAAATATGAGTGAATGCCAAATAATATTCTGCGAAAAGTTTATGTCATCCAATGATATGCATAATACTATTATCCTACCATTAGTCCTGCGATATAAGGTAGACCTGCTTGTGACACACCCTCAAACGTCGCGATACTAGTTTGCACCTTATTTGTCATCACTTTTTTTTTGGCGTTTGACCGCAACCTACTTTTTAAATCTTGTCCATAACAGTTCCGAAACTTTCACGGGGTCATTATCGCACTTCAATAAACGCCCATTTCACCGGACCATGACCACATGTCATAGGTTGGATCGAGTATTCCTTTGTAAACTATTAGAGAAATTCAAGCGCAAACTACTTTGCCGCTCGATTGATCGATTTGGTTCTTTCACTCGTTTTGGCAGGCAGGTATTGCTCAGATCATTCTCCATTTCTATCATGCAACACCACACAGAGACACAGAGAATCGATTAAACAATAAATGCAGGAAGGTTATCATAATTTAAAATAAGTTTAAAGAATTTAATTAATTTAGAAGGAGAGAAAGCTATATCGTGAGACATTGATATAACATTGCATGCGACGGACAGATTTTTTTTTTTAATTGCCTTTGAAGGCAGACGCGCTGACTGGCCACCTGATGTTAAGTGATCACCCATGGGCATCATCAATGCCAGTGACACAGCCGTGCCGTTGCCTATCGTGGCATACTCTATTTAAACCTCTCTTGAAGACGAAAATGTTATAGTACTGAGAGAACACAGTGGAGGGGAGGGTGCTCATTCTATAATTTTATTGTCCGTGGAATAAAAGTGATCTATGTCAGACCCTGTCAAACGCCTTGGCGATATCCAGGCTCACTGCAAGGGTCTCACTCTTGCTCTCGACGGCTTCACCCCAACAGTGAGCAAGATAAACGAGAAGATCATCAGCCAAACGATCGTAAAGGAATTACGTATGACCTCTATCCTCAAGGTATTTAAAAAAACGGGTGTTGAGTGTGAAAGAAACGAGGCCATAGAGCGGACACTAGTTGGCGTTCTGATTTATCTTACAGTTGACTAAGGAATGTTTAGTCCATTCTCTTTATGTATATGCCCCTAACACAAACGCACGCATGTCGACGTCCACACCGTCCATATTCACACACCGCGGGGTACGCCCATAAAATCGCGCGGGGCGAGGCATCGAACAGGCATTTTACCCGCCTCGCCGCGCCCGGAGGGATGTGGCCATAGACAATCAACTCGTAGAATATTTACAACTCTTTAAAATAGAAAGCGATGATGCAGTTACTACCTAAACAAACTATTAGCCGCACGATCGCTTCCTCTTTCACACATTTATCTGCCCAAGTGCACAGTTATAATTTACAGTTGGACAAGGAACGCGTAGTCCATTCTCTTTGTAATGTGTGTCGGGGTCACTGAGCACTTTCACTACAGTCCGCATTAAGAGGGGAGGCGGGCAATGTTTTTTCCATACAAACGCTCTCGACTGATTACTCCTTGATTTTTATCAATAAAGAACTTATTTTCATACATACAATATCATTTAACTCATTCTTTGCTCCTATGTCTTACTTTTTTCTATAACTTGTTATTCAAAGAAACTAGAACTCCCCAATCAATAAGTATTGACAAAAAAATCAAAACATAGAAGCCTAGTATAGTCGGGAGCCAAACCTCGAATTTTGTAATTTTTATACGCAATTTTCAGCGTTAACTACTATTGTTTCTATCACACGGTATTTGCCAATGCGCGACATAAATAGTTTTTTTTTCAATACCTATTTCACAAACGTCCCTCTGCTTGCGGCCGTTCTTAATTTTTGTTTGAAATAGAAATTCCCAAAGTTGGCGGCTAGCGGGGCGAGGAGGGTAACCCGCGTTTCGATTGGACAAGTCAGTGTGATGGCACGGCACGGTCAGATGACAAATTTGGTGAAACGATAAATCGCAGTTAGTCAACAGTAACACGCATCCAAATGTTGTAATACTACTTAAGCTTGGCGCAAGCGGGTGTCCTTATATGGGGTCTCTATGTAATCATAAAACGGCGGGTTTGGTGTGTATTAACAACACTATCCCATTCGGTGTATAGCACAGATGGTACAAGTACGGGTTTATTCGAAAACTTTTACCGTGTTTTAAATAAATATCCTAGCAAATGAGGATGACGGATATCGATTGGTGCAATGTTAAACTTCAGCATTTAATATCCTGAACTTGAATTCTGATATGGAATCCGTTTGGATGATGACCATCAGTACAAGCGTTACGGTACCAGCGCTATTTTGATCCACTTAAAGAATAATGTAAGTGTTGGAAATTTATTAGTATTAAGTGAGATCTAAACAACGCAAAGACATTCATCACGAAACTTTGTACACTGAAATAATGAAAAATTATTGGATTTGAAGCCTGCGGTCGGGACGCCACAAAAGCCGTTTTTCCGTTTCGAAACTAAAGTACGAGTTCGACCTTACTAGTTATTCCAAGCATATTTCTTAAATATTTTTTAAAGCACACTCCTGAATTAATAAACTCTCATGGAAATGATGATAAGCGTAGCGTCGCGTAATAAAACACATAAGTTGTATTTTACATTGTAATTATAACTTTATGGTCCGTTAAAATTTTTGTAGACCGTCCAGCGATCTTTGTTTTTATGGTAAATCTTGCGATCACACTAATATTGTATTTTTTTTATATATATATAAAAATAATAGAGACCGCAAAATAATTATACAAATATTTCAAAGAAATTTTGCATATAAGGTCGAACTTTCACTTTGATCTGTAGCCGTTCATATTTTATTTAAACTATGTATAAAACAAATACATAATATAAATACAATTTTTACTGCAACTTTACTTATTAAAACATTTTGTTTGCTATGATTTATAATAGTCTCTTTTCATATAGAACTTATAATTAAGTAATATAATCCAATATCCAAATAATAATAATATATTTACAGAGGGCATATATATATATATATATTAAATTACATAATGTGTATAGTCGCAAACAGTAAGAAATTCACAATAGTAAGTAAATAATGAAAAATTGTGCATTACTTACAATGATGAACAGATGGAATGATGACAATGATGCGTTAGTAATGGAATCCCAATTTGTGAGCCAATTTAGTAACTTTGAGTGTGGTGCAATGGAAAGCGACAGAAAGCCGGGGGTGAGTACGTTCGAACGCTGCACAACACTTTTATTCTGATTAGTTTCCAGTACACCCTTTATTAACAGCTGTATCTTGTATTAACCCAACCAAAAGAAAACCAATGACCAATAATATCGCATTATGTAGAAGCTGAAATATACCACAATACACGTCATTATGTATCTGTTTACAATTAAACATACATGTAGTATAAATTCAATTTAGTTTTATCCGCTTGCGCAACAGACAATCCAAAACCAATACAAGACACAACATTATTGTAAATATAAAATTTTGAATTTTGTTAGCAGTGTGACTAAAGCGTGAAATGGTTCTGGATATTATTAGTATACTGTGGCAAAAACCGTTAGAAATTCTTCGAGGACAGGAAGCTTTTTAACTATAGCCATTTATAGGAAATATTTATACAACCAATTCTTTATATAGCAAGCCAATTTACAATGTTCAATATAGTTCAATTTCATTAAAACCGTTTGACCAACAGGGCAAACGTCGAGAAAGAATATAGACACAAATTTTGAATTATCCATTTCTAAATGCTGTTCACAGAAAGAATCAAGACAAACAATATATAGTTCTCGCTTTGGAAAAAAATTGAATTTTAAGTAGCAAGGAGTCCAAGCAGTGGTTTGTTAAGAGAAACTGTACATACCATCTCCGGAACCTAAATTGTGTCTGTCAAACACCTTCTGCATGGCAGAATTATCAGAGCTCGACCCGGATGGCGGGAACTGCCTCGCCTGACTTTTATCCGGCGATGTTATTGGAATATGGTCGTAATCCGTTTCTTTTGGCAACCCATGCACCATTCCGTAGTTGGCTCTCATCATTTTGTCCGTTCTGAAACTATTGCCGTCGCCGAATTCGTTTTTTCTCTTGTAAGTCTGTTTGTTAGTGAATGTACGCTCGTAGTAGTTTGACGTCATTGGCATGTTACTGTGTTGATTAGAAGCGGGCGCGTTTATATTTTGATTATAAAGCACCTCTGTAGATTCCACTGGATTTTGTGGGCGATTTTGTCGCATTAACGGCACATTGGACATCATATCTGAAATAGGAGAAACGAAATCGTCGCGAATCGCAATACTCGGTGGGTTTATATACTACTGTCCGAAAATAACGTTCATTACAATCTAATATACGCTCAAAATTATAATGTTACAAGGTTTATGAATCCGTCGGAAGAGGAAAGGATCAACCATCAAAAGAACTACAATAATCGTAAGCGCTTCAAGTGCAAGCGCGATAGAAGGCTACCTTAATCCACCATTATTCAAAATTCTCTAGTAGCAGCAACTACTCATTAAACCCTTATGAACGCCGAATGCCACGATGTGACAAGCCATGGCGATGTAAACTACACTTTATAATTTATGTAGATAAAAAGAAACAGACTATATAAAACATAAATATAAACAAAGAACAAATTAAGTCCAAGAATACTTCCTTGTAGTGCGCCATTAAGCGAAAAGGGCAACTAAATAGTTGTGACATTATTATAAAAACTGATCAATCTACGGCTGAGATAACTCGAAAACATTTTCTGCACCATATATATCTTAGAGTACCAGCTAATTTATAACATAGAGACAGTATAGAAAGCCTTTATGATGTTAAATTCAGTTTATAGCTACTTTAACTTCAATATTTTCTTTTCCGTTTCTTATGAAAGGTATATATAATTCATTTGAAATGGGTGACTGATAAAAAATAACAGTATATTTACTTACTTTGAGTATCATTCTCGGTACTGTAGTCATTTCTCGGTGTTGGCCAAGTGTGTTCTCGTGATTCGGCCATATCCTGTTCACTACTTGATACACATTGAACCATCGCCTGGAATCAACGACATGCTAAAATTAGTTACAAAACTATATCATACAAACTTAATTAAGGGTTGGTATCACTAAAAATAACATTACACATAAGAATCGACGGACCCGTCTTTCCCAGTGGGCACTTTGGACAAGTGCCCAGGGGGGCCCCCTCAGATCAACTACAAAGTCCCAAGTTCCTGTTAAATCACCAAACGGAAGTCATAGGGTCCCCATTATCCAAATATGCCCAGGGCCTCCAAAATAGAAAAATATGGAATGGCTTACAAATGACAATGATTTGAGACTGTGCCACACACTCGAGAAGGGCCTTTATAATTAGCGCTAGATTGTATTATCTCATCAATGGTAGATAAATTTAGCCTCGTCGATAATAGCAACGCGGGGTCTTTAAAAAGAGGCGTGAAGAAGCATTTTACAGGCCGGCAAATTTTACTGGTATGGCCGATAAAACTGTTGCTACACCCTTTGCGTCTGGACTTCGCCGTCACTTAACATCAGATGGGGTAAGAGGTAGTTGCGGGTCGAGGACTACCTTAGTTATCAATTCAACCACCATTGTTTTAAATCTTTAAAAAATAACTCTTTATAAAAATATCAAATGCACACGGTTCAAGAGGGTAAGTAGATAAGGTAAGGTAGTCAGTCCACTATCACTTCGAAGAGGCTTGACAGGAAACCCATTGTTTAAAAAAAACAATATTCTATGAAGTGGACTAAAATACTTACCGAGGAACTAGCATCTGATGGCTCTGGCGATTCGGTGGTTGTGTCAGGATAGTGCTTGCGTCGGGGACTTGCAGCAGGTTCTAACGCACCTAAGGGACTATGCGTCGTAGTATCCGGAGGACTACTGGCAGAACCGGGCGATTTGCGGGCCAACGTCTGCGTCGACACCGAGTGCCGGACAAAATCACTCATCAGCTTCGCGTAATCTTCCCGGCCTTCGCTATCAGCGCGCACGACCCGTTTTTCCTCTTTCACTTCCTCTCTATCTCTATCGTTCTCTTGCTCCGTGAAGTTTCTCTTGGAAGCGCTTTGTTTGTTATTATGTGCGAGCAGTACATTCGGGTCAATGCTCAACCGCGTCGGTGTCGGTAAATTAGAAGCTATCTGTGCGTTGTGAGAATTAGAAACGAGCGTTGTCTGCTGTTGGACTATAGTAGTATTCTGCACGAAAGTCGAGTTACCTCGGTTGTTGGACGACGCGATCGAGACTCGTTTCGGAGAAAGCGGCACCATGACTGGCCCCATTTGATTGGTCTGCACGAATTCTTGCGCTTGAACATTCCCGGAGCGAACTTGTTGGTTCGCGTTGAAAGTCACATTCGGCGGACTCAAGTTGGCTAAAAGCGGACTGAGCTGCCCGTTGAAGTTGGGACTATTCATCATGACTTGATTGTTGGGAGACAGAAATTGAGCTCCAGGACTATGTTGCGACTGTATTATTTTCCCTTGCTGGTTTTGAGCTCTTATAACGACCCCACCGTTAGCTCCAGCGGTGAATACGCCCGGGTTTTGAACAGGCGTTAGAACGTTCTGTCCGTTAACAGTCTGCAGTTGTAGTTGCATTGGCATTCCCGTAGAATTGTCCTGGATTATAGCTGTTCCGTCTGCGGTCATGACCATTCCACCCAAATTAGGCACTAAAAATTGCTGGAAGGCCGGGAAATTCGGCATCACGCTGCTCGCGTTATTTATCAAATTCACCGGTTGCAGCAAGTTGATCTGTTGTGAAGGTGACGTGTTTGTTATTATTTGTTGAGATCCAAAGTTATTTGTATTGCCTTGTCCATTCATGACAATGTGTGCTGGGGTTCCAGATTTTCCCGGAACGATAGTCAAAGCTTGCAGCATTGGCGTGGGCGAAATGTTGTTATTAGGTGACAATTGGAATCCACGAGGAGAAAATTGTGGACTGGTGTTATGCTGTGGTGATGAATGGTGTACCATAAGGCTGTTAGGGTTTTGTTGAGGCGCTGTGATCTGCAAAACGTTTGTTATATTGGCAGGCTGTGTTTTCTTTTTCTTATTTCGTTTCTTCAAACTCTCCGGAGATAACATTGCGACTCCTTGCATATAGCTTTGTGTGTTTTTAACGTCGATTTGTCTTGGACTTTCAGTTGGTGATTGACCTTGTACTATGCCACCGGTGACAATTTGTGGTAAAACTGCATTTTGTTGAACGACTTGTCCGTCGACGGTCATCATCGAAGGCTGTATAACAAATGGAGTTGGTAATGTGTTTACAACAACTGTCGGTTGATTCACCATAGGCTGGACACCCGCTGGAACCACTTGTGTCACGGGTGAAGTAACATTCGTTGCCGAAGTCGAACCTTGAACCGGAGATACAGCAGTAGTTATTTTAGGAGGTGGAGGTGGCATTTGACTATTAGATACTATAATCTGTCCAGTAGACGATATGAGGATTTGTCCCGGAGTTGTGTGACCCGGTCTGCGTGTTGCTTGCGGTATCGTCGTAGTTTGTGATTGATTCGGGTCAGATTTTGATGGCAAACTACCGATCACGTTTTGAACCATCTCCAGTGGGGATTTTGAGATCATGTTCTGGGCGGTTGTACCGGCTATATGTAAAGGATAACTGGTAGGTAAATTGACGGAGTTTATGAAAGGATCAGGCTGGTTGTTTGGAATGGCGTAAGTTGTGGCTAAATTTACGCTTGGCGGAGGTGGAGGCCGCACAAAGTTAGCTTGAGAAGCATTTATTGACGTCGTAACTGTGTTCGCTTTTCCAGCCAAAACTGACGTTACTGTGTCTCGAGTTACTGAGAAACCACTGGCCATCGTTGTGACAAACGTTTGAACGTAACAAGCTTGTATTAAGGAATGTGCCGGTCCCCCGCCTAGATGTGGAGGCGGGCAATAACCCGGCATGGAATTCTCCATTCGTCTCCTCATTTCCATTCTATAAGCTTCTTGAGAAGATTTCAAAGCAGGTTTGACTCCCACCATTGATATGTTGTCCACTTCCATTAGATTTTTATTTACATTATGATTTGATATGAAATGCATCATTTGTGTTCCGATCGACTGACTGTTGGGTGGTCCTGGTGAATTATATGGATATATTTGTCCGCCGGGTGTCGAAGGATTACTGTTGAAATTATCTTTGCATGAGCCTGGATTAGAAAACGCAGGACTTGGAATCGGGTAAGAGCAATTCGGCTGCATTTGTGAACTGTTACCGCCGCTACTGTGAGGAGTGTCTGTACTTCTTGAGCTATTTGATAGCGTAGGCGATGGTTCAGGTGGTTGTAAGGTTTCTGTAGGCGAAACATTACTAGTGCTTACAGTCCCTGCCTGTATCGGTCCACAGTTTTCGTTAAACATAGGACTTCGGTCTAGAAACGTGGAAGACGTCACTGGGTTGTCTTCGAAACTATGTTTCGGACTAGATGTAGCGTCTAATTCCATTTTGTACGCATTTTGTTTCATATACTTGAGACGCATTTGATTTTCCGTAAACTCTGATCCGCTGCCCTTCATAGATATATTACACCCCTTACAGCATTGAGATACAGTATTATCGATCCCTTTATCACTACTGTCGGGAGTGGTATTCGGTGAAGGTGACGGGTTTGGCACCACATTACTCCTATAAGTGTTGGCTATCTCGCAACGTTGTTTGTTATTGGGTTTGCATGTCTTTTCGCCCTGATTTTGTAAGTTGTAACAATTACTAGTCCCTTCATATTGGCTGGCATCATACGAAGTATTAATTCCTACTTGTCTATTGATAGTATTATTTAATAACACTGTCTGTTGTGCTAAATATCCACTTGGGTCGTCCATAAATGACGGAACATTATTATTTGGCATATCAGTTTTTAAATCTGATATGATCCTCATGCCGTTGCCACCAAAGGACATAACTTTATTTTCAACAGGACAAGCTTTCTTTTTAGTTGCCTTACTATTGTTCTTAGCCTTTTTCTTATTCATCTCCACATTTGGCCACTGTTGATTCAACATGTTATAATGTTGCGGTAACGGTGGCACACGAGAACACATCGCTTGGTTCAAGACATGCTCATTATTTTGGAATGAATTATAGGAATTGAGAGAATCTTCTGATATGTTTGCATTTGACTCCTCATAATCTACACTTTCGGGTTTGTGAGGTGTTAAATTAGGACTAGCCATGGGATTTGAAGTATTAGACTCGTTCCTCTTCACTTGCCAAGGAGGAGTTTTAGCGGGGTTTGTTTTAACCACAGCACCATTTTGTATCACTAACTGCCCCTGAGGCACATACTGTTGACTCTGCGTTTGAGATTTGTTTTGATTGACGTTTTCTGCTAACTGCGACCTGTAACCTTTCATGGCCATTTCTATCTGCTTCTGGTTTTGTTGTATAAAAATCTGCTGCTGTTCGTTTATCTTTTGCATGACTTCAGGAGTCAAGGCTTGGTTCAATCCACAGAATATCTGGGACTCCTCCTCCTTTCCTGAGTTTTTCGTAGGCTGCACACTATGTTGAATAGGAAAGTCTTTCTTTTCATCTTTCGCTTCCTGTTCAACCATGTTTTGTGGTACGACACCCATAACGTTTTTGCAGTTGGCCGTTTGTTTGTTAAAGGAGGTGTTGACTCCTATGACTTGTCCATTCGTTCCTAAGACGGGTAATCCCATGTGTTGGCTTGGTGAGCTTGAAGGTGTCTGGTTGGGTTTTTGTCCGTCTAGATTCTCTTGCTGCGTTATCCAGCCGCTATTAACAGTGAGGTAGTGGGAAGTCCTTTGTAAGTGAGTGTCCTGTTTGGAGTCATTGTCTTGCGGGACGTTGAGTACGTTTTGTGTCGCGGGCGGGAAGGCTGATAGAGGCTGGCCCGCACGGGGCGAGACGGTTCTATTGTGATCGCTGTCTTGCGGCTGGAAACGATGAATTAAACATACATATAATAGTCATTAGAACACACAACACAATTGATAGAACTAAAATTCTATATAGCAAATACTACAAAAGTTATTTACACGTTGTCACGTTATTTAAAATTTCATCCGTAAAGAGATGGTTGTTTATATATGTTGATACAATGTTTGCCAGTAAAATATAAGAAATAAAAAAATAAATGTGATTTTTTCAGAACCCACAATTTATGGTTTTACTAATTATTTTTCTGTGATATAAATCGATTTTTATGGTTAAATTTACCATCCAACTATATTAAAATTTAACTGTGTTTCATACAACGTGGCCTAACTTTGCATGGAATTGTGTCTAACATTAGTTATTTAAAGTATATCGATTAAAAATCATTACCTAAATGATAAAGTAAATTACTTTAAAACATACAGTAAAAGTTCACGCTAACTAGACAGACCAGTTATCTCAATAATTCTCTTAATACTGCAGTAAAACATGAGCCATTAGTCCGCTGGCACCGGTACAGCTTTTATAGAGCCATGAATAATGTTGAACGACTTCGCAAGGCAGTGGTGGCTTTTTATTCGATATTAATCTTTATATAAGTCGTTATTAAAGGGTAAACCAACTTAGAACAAACCTTAAAGTCGTTTAGGGGTCGTTCTCTCTGTACCATGAGTTGGGATACGGTCATGTTAGGCGGGAAGCCGGGCCTTTTCTTCATTTTCTTTTTTGTTGCAACTTCACTTGTTGACACTGAAAAAAGGAGAAGTTTGATTAAACATATATTTTATACTTTAACGACCTCCGTGGCTTGAGTGGTATGTACGCTGGTTTTCAAGGTGTCGCCTACTCAGAGGTCCCGGATTAGTTAAATGTTTATGTGATGAATACGAGAATTTGCACGGAAGACAGGGATGTTTATATATTGATTTCTAAAAAATATACTTATTTTACATGTAGCAGTACATTTATTCTTTCCGTTACCTATTTTTGTTATTACTAGTATCCCATAACACAAATCGTACGGGCTTACTTTGGAGCTAGGCTAATTGGTATGTGTTAGAATTATTTATTTATTTATCATTTAGTGGCATATTGACACAAATAATATTAGTGATCGTGCACAGGAGCACTTTTCTCGACGTTATTTCTAATGATTTATGACTTTGACTTTTCTTGTGTGTGTCGCACTGGTTCGCACGTGGGCACTTTTTTAACTCGACATTTTTATCGGTCGTCGCTCCCTTCTGTTATGAACTTTGGTCATTTTAAAGCATGTAGCTTAAAGCGCTCGTGCAAACGGTTCTTTATTTAATCCGTATGAACTTATTATAAATACGTATGTACATAAAGCCTTATTGTAAGTATAAATGTTTATGGGATAACTATGCATCAAAAGTGGGACAAGGTGAGATAAATATATATAATTTCATTAACCTTTTGTTGCTAACGACTTTAAAATATTAATTACTGTAAACAATATATATTTTTGCTATAAGAACAAATGTTTATTTAGTGTTAATTGTTGTTATAGATCAGACTTAATTTCCTAATAAACTGAAATCACACGACAGACATTGCTGGATTTAAGTGATATAAGTATCTATTTAAATGGTTCATAAAAAATCATTAATTTGTATCTAAAGGAGTTTTGTAAACCATAATAACATTTATCTGAAGAAAATTTTAGCAATGAAACTTGGCACGGGTTAAATGTTCTTAATTACAAATATTAAAATTGTGAAAGTAAACACGACAATTTTAGCAAGAAGATATAAGAATGGAAAAGAATTAATTTCTATAAACTATACTTATGTTTGATCATGACGTGTCTCTGAATTACCTTGTCACATTATTCATTCTTATTTTAACCATATATAACTAATTTCAAGAATATACTCCCTACTAACACATTTTGGACATGTTGTCCAAATTTGCACATAAAACGAATTTAAAATTATTACATATAACAGAGATAATATTCGAACGCACGTTAAGCCGTTGGTCCCGACTGCAGTCGTCAGTAGCACACACCAATCGGCCCAGAGCCCATGTGGTGGGTAACATTAATAGGCTGAAGATGATGATGACATTATAACAGTATTGACTTATATTACTAAGGTCATATTAAATCAAAAGTAAGTTCATAAGCGTAAGAATTATAATATTGATCACAAAATGTGACACGCTATGCTTCACAAAAATGAGTTTATAATAGTACATTAGTCGTTATAAGAACTACAATGGAGAGGTCACTGTATATAGCTAACAAGATAAACGAACCAGTGGGTAGTACTACAACAATGTAAGATTTAAGTACGCAACGACATTGAGACAGTCGCGAGAAGAGAGTCGAGTGACTTTGTTACGCTCTCCAGACGACCTATATGTGTATACAGAATAATAGTATAGATTTTACTACTCCATTAAGTTAAACCTTCTCACCTAGACTCCCCCGAAGTATGTGTATATTTGTCTCATATTAATGGCACAATTACTCAATAAACGTTCAGCAAAAAAAAAGAGGAAAGAATAAATAAAAAAAATAAAGCAAGTCTTTAAAGAACTCTTGAACATAATAACTTGTAAGTACCGCGAACTCGATTTCGAGCGATAATAAAATCTATTAAAACATTTCCCCTTATCGTGATAATTTCCGTAGGAAACTGCGAACGACCCAGATCGTCAGCGAGGGAAATGGAAAATAAGCGGTTCCACAACAAATCGGAACGGGGAGAGCGCTCTGATGATCGACCCATTTATATGTAAAACGATAAAGAATCGCTGAACGACTCCGTTCCGTAGTCGCGAGGGAGACTAATCAAGTTTGACTCGCCGAACGGGGTAAAATCAATTAAAATCGTAATTCGATCAACACAAGGGTACTATGGTATTTATTTCCGCTTAATAGCGTCATGTCAATCAATCAATGTATCGTCGTGACGCGTATGTTATACATCAGCCTAGTGTGGTTACCATCAAAGGTGTGCCTGTTTCATAATTCTATAACGCCTCATAATTAGTCAGCGAGTCGAGTGTAATACCGTTATCTATTTGCACATTATCTGGCAGATTTGCAATTAAAATACGGGTTGTGTGCGAAACGGAGCGGGCGAGGCGAGGCGAGGAGAGGGTGGTTCGGCGGCGCTCGGGAGTCGGGAGCGGGTGGCGTAGTGGGTGCGTCGTCAGATCAATAGTCGGCGGGGCGCGCGCCCACGCCACCGGCCGCTCTGCACCATCGCCGATTGTTTCGAATTACACTCGCCTTTGTTCCCGCCGCTGATCGAGTCGCCTGCGTTTTTGTTTTCTCTAAACGGCCAACTTCCTTTTGTAATTACACGATGCTGCGGTTTGCCATGTAGACTTCCCGATCCGCGCCGCCCGCCCACGGCCGTTAATCTTGTTCGCGGACACCCTCTCCCCGCCTCCGTGTCCGCTTTTTATAATGTCTATTACGCAATGTCTCCGTGGCCCGTGTCTAATTAATTGATATCGCTTGTAAACATAAAAATATAAAAGATGTATCTCCGATGAATATTGCGAAGGAGGCAAAATGGGGCCAGATCGAGCGTAACGGGCGGCGGCTAAATTAGTGGCGAGCAAACAGTACCCGTGGGACCATTGATATAATTTTGTGGCAAAAGGGTTTACTAAATCAAAGGAGATACTAAAGTAAATCTTCGCGTAGGTTCCATTATGGTGATATACGAAGGGAATTGCTTTAAGTTTTCGTGTCTGGTCTCTTTTTACCATGTCGTAGAATCATAATTATGAAACAAGAAAATCTATTAAGGAATCTGATGTGAAAACTAAAAGGCATAATTATATTTATAGTAAATCTTGAGTAGCACTGATTGTGTTTATGCTAAGGCGTGCAGGTGGAGAAGGCTCTCTCGGTGCTTGGGGGTGTCGCGGGTGCAGCGCGGGTTGTTCCTCCCGGCGGCGGCGGCGGCTCGGACGGACGGACGGCTGACGAAGTGCAGTTACCCGCTATTCATGTCGCACTAAACGCCCCGCACCCCCGCGCTGCCACTTAACAACAAAGAGACCGCTCTACGGGCTCTACCCCTCTTTGTTACAAGAAACAATCCCATCCTCCGACCGACCACTTTTCAATGTTGCTACATACACTTCGTTTCACTTTGATAGCGAATTATAAACGCCTTAGCTCTTAATAAACAACGGATAATAAACAATTTATCTAAATTAGTCATAGATGCAAATCTCTGGGTAATCTGCAATTAACCAACGATTCAGAAATACCTATGAAACAATAAACAGCAAACTCCTGGCAACCTATTAATTAGTTGCGAACTAAGCCGAGCTTATATAACAAAGCTGACGCTACAATAGTTGAGCTCATCACAGAAACAAAGGAGCCCCCACCAGTAATTGGATTCCAGGATATTATTGAGATGCAGTAAATTATCGCAGTTGCACTAACCGCTATCCAAATCACATGAGCATCAACAATGTATCAGGAAGGGATTAGTGGTTTGAATGCAGGAGGACGGCTGCTGATATCGCTCGTGCAGGCTTTCCGGCTAATCCCGTTCGGTTCACACTCGTGTAATTGGATGAAGGAGAGGCTCGGCGCGAGATTGCGCCCGCCCGGAGTGCCGACGGTTAATCGCATAATAATGCACTGTTCCCGGATGGTGCTTAGGTGCTCTGTTGAAACCTATACTCGTGTCTCAAAGGCAATTCCAATCAATAAATTGTGTTATCAAGCAGCTTTAAAGCCACAAACTTGGTCAATTCATTCATGAATGTGTTTCGTAGTTTTGCGCGATTACCAGCACTACAAAGGGTTTTACATGTAAATACCGTTAACGTTATGAATATTTAATCTTTCCCGGATGGTGCTTAGGTGCTCTGTTGAAACCTATACTCGTGTCTTAAGAGGGGCAATGTTTTTTTCATACAAACGCTCTCGACTGATTACTCCTTGATTTTTATGAATAAAGTACTTATACAATATCATTTTACTCATTCATTGCTCCTATGTCTTACTTTTTTCGATAACCTGTTATTCAAAGAAACTGGAACTCCCCAAAAATTAACAATTTTTTATCACCGCTAAAGACGCTTAGTGTGGAGATTCAATAAGCATTTACAAAAAAAGCAAAACATAGTAAACTTGCCTAGTATGTACTAATTATTCTATGGGTAAAATTTCTTTTAGATTTATCCTTTTATCCTAGATTTATACCAAGATATAATTTTTGAGGAGGAAAACGTTGAGAGACAAACCTCGAATTTTGCAATTTTTTACACAAATTTTAGCGTCAGCTACTGTTGTCCCTATCGCACGGTATTTGCCAATGCGCGACAGGAATACCTATTTCACAAATGTCCCTCAGCCCGCGTCCGCTCTTAAAGGCAATTCCAATCAGAAACATGTATAACAGCTTATATCATTCACAATAAATGCTTTTTAATGATTTTAAAAAGTAATGAACGGGAGCAATCTAAGAAAATAAAGACTACCAAAATACAGACACTTAACAGATCATCCTGCAAAGGGAACATTATTGCAATTATTTAATTACGCACAGAAAATATACAATACAAAGTAAAAATATCTTATTATTATCATTCCGCTTCTATATTTCTTCTTAAAAGGTTTCATCTGAAAAAGAGTTTATTCTTTCTTCGTGTCTCGCTTTTGAATCACAACAAAGACGCGAGATAATAATATAAAAAACGTCGGTCACATTCACGACCTTAAAAACTTTTAAGGTGGTGAATGTAACTAAATGGTCTCGGTCTAATTATACGATTGAATAATCGACAACTTGAATCTGCAACTTAATTACATCAATCTCAAATTATAGCAATTATTTTATACATTCAGAAAGATATAATCGTCTTCAATAATCTACTTATTTGCATCATTAATTGAATGTGTTTTCAATATCTATTATATGTATCGTATTATAGCATTTGGTGATCATTATCTATTTAATAAAACTGTTTATGTATTGTCGAAGATAAAACTACGGGCAAAAAAACTGATCAAATGCCAATCGAACTGACGCACCGAGAGATTATTTGAGGGGAATTGCGTTGACTTAGTTTGATTTTATTCAGTGCTCCAAGGAATCAACAGAAGAAGCTCTGTGTATTTGATATTCATTTCAGCTTCAGATTTCCTCGTGTTCCTGAGAAAAAGAGCCTTAATAGACGGACAGATGGACGAACTGACAATAAATTTCTGTAAGGATTGCGTTTTTTCTTCTCAGATACGGAACATCTTCTTTTAATAAGAGAGAAAACTTATCGAAATAAAACGTTTTAAGCACTTAGCTGCTAGATGTTAACTCTAAAGAATTTACTAGAACAACATCCACTCGGTCTAGTACCCTTAGTTTACCCTTAGTACGAGTTTGAGCTCACGAAAACTATCATAGTTTTCGTAATTGTAAATTATGTTTCTATGTCCATTTTGGTGAAAAGTAACCAAATATACTTAAAATTTAAGAAGATGCAAATGATTTAATGATAGAATTTAAACACTGTTTATTTGTATTGAAACGAAAACAATAAAATCAGTACCCTTAGTATGAGTGCGATAGTTTTCGTTATTGTAAAACTAGTACAAAGGGTACAGATTTAACACAGGATTCGAACCCGCATCTTCCTCTATCCGGGCAGAAGAACATTTAATGTATATAATAGGAACAAGTACAATATTACACGTTTGCTGTACATTGACGTGAAACAACCTCGTTGCGATGTTCTTTAAAAGAATTATATTTCAAAAGGGAAAACGGATATATAAAACAGCACATACCGTCTCCGATACGAAAGAATCTACAGCCGAGAAGCGAGACATGCGACGAACAATCTCGCCTAACTACTAAACACGACCTACCCTTGTTATTCCGTCAACAATTAACTAAGCCCACGTTTCTCCCCTTCTCATGAATCATGACACGAATAATAAATTTGATTCTTGTCATTTCACTTCTTCTTTGTTTTCACGTCATAATTAAAGATTCACGGCTTACGTTTAACGTGATGTCATTTAACAATGACTGAAATTTCCATATTAGACAATTCATACAATTATAACATCTTCAAATATTGTGGCGATGTTATTTCACTGATACCTGATTTTATAGTTAGGTATTAATAAATAGTAGAAGTTTCAGTGACATTAATAGAAGTATGAACTGGAAGTGATTTAAAATCAATCTACACAAAGGTTTCATTATAATACACGAAAAGTTAGCAACGTCGTTTTCTGTTTTTCTTTCAATTCTAAACCTCTTGCTGCCTCAATTTAGAAAGTACAGCCGTTCCGCTAAAAATGCGTCTCCAGATGTTTGAAAGCCTTTCTTTATTAAAAGAATGTGTCATGATATAAATATAAAGCACGTATGAAAAAAAATGTTCTCAGCTATTTAATTCTATAATAGTCTTACCTTTCTTCTGTTCTATGTGCTGGGGTGGCGGCGTGCCGGGTGACTGCGCGCGCGCCTGCAGTGTCGCGAGCAGTTTCCTCTTGTGGTTGCAGAGTTTGGTCAGCTCTGCTCCTGAACTACCCTGATAAGGTCTACTGGCCACCTGGAAAACAAATATGGCATATTGAGAAAATGTAACGATCATAATGCATTTTAAAATATAAGATCACTAACATCCCGCAAAAAATTAAGTCCCAAATCAAAATTTAGAGTAATCTGAAATTAATTATTAAAGTTTCACTTTAATTAATGTCAAATCGCACATAACAAAGAATTCGTAGAGTTATTTAATAATGGTAACAATTACAATAGTATTCCAAGAGATGCTGCTTATTCCGTGGCTGCTTCAGATCAAGTCCAGACAACAATCAAGAGAGGCTATGTGAAGTAACTAAAAAACAGACTTTTGGGACCTATTTTTCGTCTAACAAAAATGTGTGCATATAAAGAAAAGATAAATAAATTCTATAATTACAAATATATTTGGTGCAACGATAAGATATACGTAAAAAGATCGTCTCTATTTCGAACATCAACGCCATAAATAACGTGATCGACAATCTGTTATTATTAGGTAACAAGCTTTAATGGTTACCTGAACGCCTACCAGTTATAACAGTACAGTTACGAGTCTAACCAATCATGAAGCGTTGCGTTTCCTGATATTGCAACGTCGACCATTAGTCAAGCCACAGATTTATTGATGATCTAAACTATTCCCAACCGTTCGTATATGTATGATATGAAATGAGATGTGATACTTTTTTTCCAACATAAAGAACTAAATTCTATTTGTAATTAGAAGAAGTGTCAAGAAAATGATAATTAAGAAAAATAAACCTAAGTAGATTTCAATTGGTAATTTATATTCTAGAGTTTCTAGTTTACAATTGAAATCAATATAACTCAAGAGAATTAGTAAGCAAAGCATTAATATCGACAGTAAGGCGTAACAACACACGGTCTATTTAAGAGATGAATTAGATCGTTGTGCACAGTAGTCGGAATTGGAATGTAAGGCAAACTGTGCGTCGAATTGTAATGCAGTGAGCCGGGCCCGCGATAGTATTGCGCCGTCGCGTTGCGCCCAATCTGTGAACACGTCCGTTCATTATGGCTGGACGCCCACTGTGCGCCACGTTGCACACGCAAATTGCTCCATACTCCCGCTGACACAGCTGCATACAACTCTCCAGCTTTCAACTAACACACCACGATTCTTTAGCAAATTTGCGATCATGTCGACGAAGCAGCTAGGGGGCAAAGTGCTAAATTACTGACGCGGTGCTAAGTGAGAGTTTTACCCGTTGAGTGTACTAACCGGATCTGCTTAGCTTATGACATCGCCGTTTATCGAAATTCTGATTGTGGTTAATAACCAATTTTTGTAGTTCGAAAAATACAGTGTCAATTGATGCCTTGATCATTTTGATCGACATTGTAAATAGGAAAACAATATACATTTCATTCCAAGTCATTTACAATAGTAAAGCGGCCTGTTATAATCTTCTTTATTTTTCAGCGCATTCGTTACATATTCCTCTTATAACATTATGAAAACAAAAATAATATCACGAATATCCAAAATAAACGCTTAATAACGGCTCACTCTATCCTCAATAGATCTACCTATACATGATCCAGAAAATACATCCATGTTTGTTACAAAGGTATATCCCTGTGCTTCTACTTTCTTCATCATAAGCTTTTTTTTGTCCCTTTGCTAACTTTCTAACAAAATGTTTTTAATGAGTCCTGTCATATCCAACTTTGTTTATAATTTAGATTAACGATTCAGAAAATTCCACCAGTTATCCGTTGAAGTTTAAGTTTATCAAAAGCTAAACTTGGTTGAGTTGCATATCTATTAACCGATTTGTACGAGTCACCGATTGACTTCTGTTTCTTTCATAATTGAAATGTTCCGTGGCCACGAATACGATTGAATTAAGTGGCTTCATACGATCGGGCAGGAGGCCTCGAGAACGCCCTTGTACCAGTTACCGGACAATCACATTTTGCAGCTATACGTCAAAATACTGCCACCACCAATGTAATACGTAAACACTGTGTGTACAAAGGCAATGTAATGACTAGCGAGCTTGCGATTAATAGCTGTGCGTGTTGTTAGATGTCCGATATTTGAAAGAAGAATAAAGTTCTGATCTTATTATTGTTATGTCCAGGTAAAAATACCTAAACTTGATTATGATATCATAAAGGTGCTGTCCCACGATCTGTGTTTTTGAAGTTGCCAAACGTATGAGAACTCTAAAGTTCGAGATTTACTAGTATCTATACATGATACGAGGTGATTATAGGATGATACGAATAAGGATGCATTTAGTGATGGCATAATGAATCTGTACTTACTGAGACGATCCTTTGAACAATAAAACAAAAAAGAGACCTAGCATACATAGATGCTAGTAAGTAAAACACCATTATTTTGTAAAAATATTTTTATAGGTCGATGCAACATTCCGTACATGAAACAACGCATAACCGCGTCTATATACACATAAAACAAAGGACCAGTTACAGAACAAATCCTCACTAATGGGTGGTCTGTCTGGAGCTCAATACTGATAGATAAGCCCTTGCACAATGCTGGCTGCAGGTCATTTCAATATGGCTCCAATCAACGTGATGGACGGCAACCTTGCCGCGACAGATGTCCCCGCTGCGTCGAACATGTCATGCTAAGTAATGACTGCGCCCTAATTAATAGATAGATACATTTCACTGTTGAATAATTCAGTATTGCATACATTACTCGTTAATGCGAATGCGTTGGTTTCGGCCGTCGTTAGTGTTTAGCATAAATACATGTTAGGTTGAATAAATAGATGTCTTGTATATTAGAATTAAAATACATATATCTATATTTTAGTTCCGTACTTAATTTTGGCACTTTAGTCCTCCTTTTCATTCTCTATGAAGTCTGATAGACACAATCTGCCGTCAAAATTACAAATAGCAAATACGAACGAATAGACATGTGAAGTGCCGGCATAAAAGAATTGTTGTTAATTAATTGGTTCTAAATTTATGGAGTATATGAAAATAAAAAAATGACAAAATGTGCTGTATATTTTTTTAGTTACTGTAGGTACCATTACAACATAAAGCATAAAATTTGGAATAACATTTGCACCAAATATCTAAATTACAAGATACTTTAGTAAGATGTGTGCAGAAGTACCTTGCTGTCTGCCAAAGGGTTTAAAGCACACATTCACTTAGGCATCAGTTACCATATTTGCAAAATACTTATAATGCGATTCAACTAAGAATAGGACCGACTGGGCGCCATATTGTGACGTCATAGCTGTAAATTGAAACCAAATAGGTAGAGTGAGTAAAATAAGCTTTTATTTAATAAAATTTATTTATTGAGTATATGTGAGAAAAGCATCAGATTTTTTTAAATAAAATTTATTAACTAAGATTGAGAGAAAAAAACAACCAATTTGTAATAATATTTATTTACTAAGACTGACAAAAAACATTAATCAGAATCTAGCTCTTCAATTCCGCTCATCTCTAGATTACCGCCGGAGCAATTATGAATAATCATGCACTGTTAGTAGGTAGGTCACAAGCATGCATGCATCCTTTATGTAAACGAAAGATTTAAATCGAGTTTCTGAACGCAACTTAAGTGACATTTGGTTGACGATATAGGTTATAAACCATTCATAAAAAATATCAACTAATATCAATTATCAATATTTGTTATTATTTGTTTACAAATGTTTGATTTTTATTCTAGAATTAGCTGAGTAGTAAAAAAGGGTTTCAAGACTTTTTTTGCAAACCATACTTATCAAGCGACATTTGACAGATGGAGGTCATTGGCTTTCCTATTCTAATTTGAATCGCTTTATACACCCTAATATGGTGGAGTTATGGCTTTTCTAAATCTCAATAACAAACGGGCTATTGGAAGAATATAGAAGCGAGTTTAGAGAATAACATTAATTTACATTCATCTCGTACAAACAATGCTCGAAACCGCCTTCGGAGCCAAAGGGCCGATCAATTCGTACAGCTACTGGTTTTATTTGCGTGTGGGAACTGAATGTCGAATAATTTGTCGCTGCATCGTCGGGAGCTCGCCACTAATTAACGGGGACATTTACGGCTGCCAAACTTGCCTCTATATGCACAACCTACCGCCTGCCCCCACCTGCAGACCCACCAACCTCCCTACAAAACACAACACATTAAACTTACACAACGATGATAATTTATCAATCAGCCTTTGTAAAAATAAAGACCGTCTTCCGTTCTTGTCTTCGATACCACAATTTATTACGTTTCATATAAAACGTCGCGTCGTTGATTTTTATACTGTCTGAAATTTTATTTCAAAAATATAACCAAAGTAAGTGTGATAAACTACGAGGCTATTAAATATTATGAAGCTGCAAGTGCTCAATGTGCAATTTACGATATCAGAAACGAATCAAATCCACAAACAAACTCGCCGAGCTACCAGAGTAATTATCCCCCGTTTAAGGGTCAGTGACTGTTGAAGAGGATTGAGGTCCCCCTCCCATAATCTTTATTTAGGTCAAGCTTTCGCTAAGGAAAATAAGTATTAACGCGATAAATCCAAATAAACGAGGTTAGTTAGATGATTTTGTTATTTCGGGAATGAATTAATGAGATTAGGATCGACAGACTGTGGTAATTACATTATAAATTATTAAAAGGCGTGTTACACTAAGCGGCCTGAATTGTATACTTACAAATAATTTATTGAATACACTCAATCACAGTTCACAGTTGATTGACTGCCTTTAAAGCAATGATGCCTTCGTAAATAATTTTACCTTGCTTTCATAAGGGCTCTTTCGCCTTTGTGAATGGCATCATTATAGCAGTATTCGTCCGTCAGGGCGAGGGTCGTATTTGTCATATTGAATATCGATGTCCTTGACCCCGATACAAGCGAGGGGTTGCGATAACCTCTTCACTCATGTTATACTGCGTCATATTGAATTATTGAGCCACGAGAGTGGTCGTTTCACTTTATAATCAGTAAGAGCCTTATTATGTATTTCAGATTTTGGGGCTATGCCAAAAAGTTGATTT